GGAGAAGTGCCAAAAAAGGCTCCGGGCGAGTTTCGGTTAATCCAACATTTGAGTTTTCCCGATGGGTCAGCTATAAACGATGGTATCCCCGAAGAACTGTCTACTGTCCAATATCAAACAGTTGCGGAGGCAGTTCACATGGTTCAGACATTAGGTCCTGGGTGTTTTTTGTGTAAATGTGACATGGAAAATGCCTACCGGCAACTCACCATTCATTTAAACAGTCAGCACCTTTTAGGTTTTAAAGTAGATGGGAAGTATTACTATGATCGTTCGTTGCCCATGGGTTTGAGTTTTTCGGCTCGATTATTTGAAATTTTTAGTTCTTCAATACACTGGATCATGGAAAACAAGTTTGAGGGCACTCGATGCATTCATGTGCTGGATGATTTTTTATTTGCAGCCAAAACTCAGCAGTCATGCCACACAGTATTATCAAATTTTGAACAATTATCTCAGGACATAGGCATTCCGTTGAAACAAGAAAAAACAGTTCCACCTTGCAATATATTAAGTTTTTTGGGACTCGAATTTGACACAATAGCTATGCAGCTTCGCTTACCAGAGGATAAGTTGATAAAACTTCAAAATTTAATAACTGACATGAAATCCAGGCGCAAAACAACTTTATTACAACTTCAATCACTTTTAGGACTTTTGAATTTTGCCTGTGCGGTGGTAATTCCGGGTCGACCTTTCATGAGACGAATTATTGATTTAACTCTCGGCTTAAAAAAGCCTCATTATCATAGGAAGTTAAATTCGGCCGCCAGGGCCGATTTGGACGCTTGGAGTATTTTCATAAACCATTTTAATGGAAGGGCGTTGATAATCCCCCAATTTTCGCGGTCCTCCAGGTCTTTGAACATGTTTTCAGATGCAAGCAATGTGGGTTTTGCTGCTGTATTAAAAAATCATTGGTTTTCACTTCCAGCTTCTAATAACTGGTTGGAATACTCGATTACGTACAGAGAGTTGTTGCCTATAGTAAACGCAGTCCAACTTTGGTCGTCAATTTTGCAAAACTCCAGAATTTGTTTTCATTGTGATAATTTAGCAGTGGTGCATTTGCTTAATAAGCAGACATCTAGAGAACCTAATATCATGAGACTTATTCGTTTGTTTGTTGTGAAAATTATGGAATTTAATATTTTGTTTACTGCCCGCCATGTTCCTGGAGTGTCTAATATTCAATCAGATTTACTATCTCGATTACAGGTGAACGAATTTCAACACAGCTTCCCACACATGGATCCCTCACCTACAGTAGTTCCACAGTATCTATTACAGATCTGAACACTGTTGCAGGAAATTTAGTGACAGATTCGTTAACCCCTGGGTCAAGACGGTCTTATCGTTTAGCTTTCCGTCACTATAACAAATTTTGCAATCAGTTTTACCCTTCACAGGCAGTTTTTCCAATATCAATAACTATGTTGTGTAATTTCCTAGCATATTGTTTCTCTAATCCTTTGGCAGCAAGCACAGTCAATTCTTACGTCTCCGCCTTAAATTTTATTCAAAAATTAACTGGGGGTCCAGATGTTTCCCAGAATTTCGTTTTGCGTAGATTAATAAGGGGTTATCAGAATAGAGCGGTATCCTATGACCAGCGTTTGCCTATTACACAACCCATTCTAGCTCAGTTGGTAACGGTTTTGGGTGGCCTAGGTTTGTCATTTTTCCTGAAAAAATTATTTACAGCTATGTTTCTTCTGGCATTTGCAGCATTTTTACGGATTGGGGAAATGACAGACTCCCCGAACAACCTGCAAACGCAAAATATTGTCTTTCAAAAAGCCACTGATACTGGTGTAATTTCATCTTTAGAAATTCATATGCAAAATTTTAAACACAAGAGGGGTAACAACTATCCAATTCTGACAATCCTAAACTATGCCCAGTGCAAGCGCTTTTAGACTACCTTACTTTCCGCCGCCAATCAAGTTTGTGGTTGTTTACATTCATGAATTCGACGCCAATTTCACGTCATTTTTTTATGCGCCACCTCAATTTAGCTGTTCAAGCATGTGGTCTAAATTGCGCACGTTATAAACATCATAGTTTCCGCATAGGTGCTGCTACGACAGCAGCTGCTAAAGGGATCCCCTTTTCCCAAATACGTCTTCTAGGTCGATGGCAGTCAGAAGCTTTCCAAAAATATATTAGGATTCCAGTGCTTAAACTCTAGATCACTCCTGTTGTCCCACTATGCCATTTCAATGTCAACCGGTGACAGATTTTTGTACAATTTTTACTGAGAAGATTGGGTTATCAGTATTTTAGTCACCGGTTGGTTTTCGGAGAATTGCCCAATTAACAAAACTCGTGAAAGTTTTTTGTCTTTTTCTGGGAATATTTAAGTTTACAATTATTGTGTTTAATTTGTTTTTGTACAGGTCTTTACTGAGAACATTGGGTTATCAGTGATGGCCTTTTTAGTCACCAGCGTGTTTTTTACACGTGTTAATGTTAATGTTGATGGTGTTTGTTTTAGGTTTAATTAATAATATACAGGTCATGGGATGGGGGGAAATTGTTGTTTGAAATCAACAATTTTTGTGGCCGTAGTAGATACCCCATCTTTTGCACAAGGGGACACTTAATGCATGTTTAAATTGTATTTGTGCTATATTGAACCATTTTGATATTAATATATTTTATGTTTTAGTATGTTTCATTTCCATGTTGGAAAAATTGTGTTATTTATTTTGCCCAGTATTTGTTATTAGTCAATGATATGAGGCAAATAAATGACCATTTCAATTCAAACAAATGCTTTTTCGTATGTACAAAACATAGCCATTCCAGGGCACGGGGGATACAAAAGATCTATTTCATATTGTGAAATAGAATTTGTATTGCAGTACAGGGGAGGTAACTCTTGTTATCATTCCTCAACTGCTTCATTTTGAACAAAGCACGAGGCATTACTGCAGCAAAGAAAATGTTGTCAACACAAATAGTACAGGTTTTTTTAAGATAAGAGTTGTCAACACCACCTTCCTTCCCCTCCTCCACCAGTTAGTTTTTACACATATAACGATTTTCAATTGTTTGTTTACTTTTCCTTGCTTTTTCTATAATTGTGGATTTTATACCTAGTTTTTATACCTTTAATTTATTCTCAATTGCCATTGCAATTTTGAATAAGGGTGAATTTTATAAGTATTAATTATGAACATGTTTTGGTTTTTTTTTTTTGGTGCCGTAGTAGATACCCCATCTTTTGCACAAGGGGACACTTAATGCATGTTTAAATTGTATTTGTGCTATATTGAACCATTTTGATATTAATATATTTTATGTTTTAGTATGTTTCATTTCCATGTTGGAAAAATTGTGTTATTTATTTTGCCCAGTATTTGTTATTAGTCAATGATATGAGGCAAATAAATGACCATTTCAATTCAAACAAATGCTTTTTCGTATGTACAAAACATAGCCATTCCAGAGCACGGGGGATACAAAAGATCTATTTCATATTGTGAAATAGAATTTGTATTGCAGTACAGGGGAGGTAACTCTTGTTATCATTCCTCAACTGCTTCATTTTGAACAAAGCACGAGGCATTACTGCAGCAAAGAAAATGTTGTCAACACAAATAGTACAGGTTTTTTTAAGATAAGAGTTGTCAACACCACCTTCCTTCCCCTCCTCCACCAGTTAGTTTTTACACATATAACGATTTTCAATTGTTTGTTTACTTTTCCTTGCTTTTTCTATAATTGTGGATTTTATACCTAGTTTTTATACCTTTAATTTATTCTCAATTGCCATTGCAATTTTGAATAAGGGTGAATTTTATAAGTATTAATTATGAACATGTTTTGGTTTTTTTTTTTTGGTGCCGTAGTAGATACCCCATCTTTTGCACAAGGGGACACTTAATGCATGTTTAAATTGTATTTGTGCTATATTGAACCATTTTGATATTAATATATTTTATGTTTTAGTATGTTTCATTTCCATGTTGGAAAAATTGTGTTATTTATTTTGCCCAGTATTTGTTATTAGTCAATGATATGAGGCAAATAAATGACCATTTCAATTCAAACAAATGCTTTTTCGTATGTACAAAACATAGCCGACTGCCTACACATGAACATAAACAGTTCATCTGGGCGGCTTAACTGACAGCCCCATTTCACTCGCAAAGAGATACACTGTCAAAAGTGAAAATCAACGTTTTTGATTTTTGTCTTAATAATGAGAAATTGCTCCAACAATCCTCAGACATTCAGCAATTTGTCGTGCCATGCTCCTAATCAACCGTCCAATCATGATTTGGGGCAATCTGACCCACTCATCTTGCAGTGCCACGGCCAATTCTTGCAGTGTTGTCGGTTGACGTTGTCGTTATGGTCCGATACATGCCAATATCGAAATTGGATAAAAATTGTGACCTGTAGAGTGTCCACAAACAATTGTGGACGGACATCCGGAAAGATGGACAGGGGTGATGACAATATACATCCACTTGAAAATGTGGGCATGTAAAAAGGAATTGTATAATCATATATTAAGTTTAATTTTTAATAAAGCATGGGGATATCATAAGCATGTTAATTCAATGTTTATGTGGCATGTACTATATTAGATGAGATTGAAAGAGCATTTTAGATTAGAGGTTACAGAACCACAAGTAAGGTGGAATTAATAAGTCGAACAGAACTGTTCTTCAGACTGAAAGGCGACGCCAGGAAACTGAAAGGTCCGACTAATTATTGAACAGTTGTGATAATTAAGCGGGACGCTTATAATTAAACACGTCGACAAAATAAACACTAGTCAATTAGACGCTTGGTAATCAAAATTAAACCCTGAGATTTAAATTGGATACAAGTATAAATTGAACACTATTACCCGAAATTCAATTATAGTTATGAATATTTCAACACAGAACAGAAATTAGCAATATTTACGCAAGATTAAACAATACCAATTTACCAGTGTCTGCCCCTTAAGTTCTCAGTGATTTAACAGCTAACTAACATACCTTTTCCATGCTCATTTTTTCAGGCATCACAATAATGCATCTATATCCTTTCACAGCAGCTGCTAATGCTAAACCAATCCCTGTAATAATAAAATACCGTAGATAAAAAGAACATTAGTCTTCTAACAATAATATGCAAACATCCAGACTCATATATGACTAATGCTATGACTAATGCAGAGGAGAACTAAGGAAGGCATGACTAAAGGAGAGTGGGAGGGAGGTTTAACATCCACTTGACACAAACTAAGTCATTTCAGGACTAACATATGGTTCAATTTTTTCCATTAATTCACTTGCATGTAAGGGTCTTTAGCAGCGGGAGGAAACTGGAGGACCAGAAGAAACGCACAAGGTTGGACAGGCAACCCTATTCCTTGTCACATACACCCGGGGAATCAATAATTAAAGTACAATGTTCGTGTCCACCAATATTACATGTGTGATAGAACTTGTTAAACACATTCCATATATAATATTAACACAGAGTTCATTGCGCAACAAAGATTTGAAGAAACAGGAAGTGGTGCAAAAAATGGAAAACTTGAGTTATCCTTGTATATAACTGACTGAAGTAGAGAGGGATAACAGATACACAATCGAATTTCAGCTCACTGATAATTCCTTTGAAGACGAAAAGTTTTTATATGAGACTGTAAGAGGATGTCTGTTCGAATCTGACAATTCATAAAAAGAATTGACTGTCACAAGATAAGTAAAAGCCAGGAAAATAGAAAGTCATTTACCGTAGCAATGATCACATGGATGGATGGACAGACAGGGGCGACGACAATATATGTCCACATGAAAATAGGGGCATACAGAAATTACAGACCAGTTTCAAATCTATCTTTCATTTCTAAAGTCATTGAAAAAATCATTGCGGATCAACTAAAAGACTACACGAATAAACATAATCCACTAGAAATTTATCAGTCGGCTTATAGAGATCTGCACAGTCAGAGACAGTCTGAACAAGGGTTTACAATGATATTCTTCGTACCGTGGACAAAAAATATGTTATTCTATTTGTATTATCAGCCTCTTTTGACACCATAAATCATCAACATCTCCTGCAGGATAAAGGATAAAACTATCTGATTCATCATTGGAGCTTATCACATCCTAATTAACATGCAGACCGCAATTAGTGTGTGTTGGGGGTTCAAAATCTCAACCAACAGTACTGCTGTATGGGGTTCCCCAAAGATCAGACCTCGGTTCAATTCTAAACGATTCTGTTAACCAGCGGTTGCCAAGCAAGATACGCCCACATTTTGCAAGAGATGGATAAAAACAAAAGCGATTTTTCTTACAATCAGGGGCCATAATAAAGAAAGTTATGGTCTGAAAAAACGCAAATTTCGAAAGGGACTGAGATCTTTGGGATAAAAAGATATATTTTAAGTTCCATCAAAATAGGATAAAAATAGTGACCTTTCGATTTTCCCCTCGTCATTATGGTTGAATAGTAATATATTTAAACAGTTTTTAAAATCGGATAAAAAATTGTGACCTCTAGAGAATCGACAAACTAAAAAGCATGATTTTTCGTACAAGATCTTTGGGACATAAACATACATTTAAAGTTTCATCAAAATCCGACTTCTAGAGGGTACACAACCTTCATATGACATACTTTTACACTATTTGCGTACAAGGAGCCACCATTTTGTCAGGCAAGTTTGATCTGATTTTCACGAAATTAGAACTAAACCATCATTGGGGTGTAATGGTGATAAATTTAAACGTTTTTTCAACTTGGATAAAAATCTTGACCTTTAGAGGGTCCACAAGCTAAAAACCTGATTTTTCATACAATCAGGGGCCATAATCCAGGAAGTTACAGTCCGATATGCGCAAATATCAAGACAAACCTCGATCTTTGGATTATAAACATTCATTTCAAGTTTCATCAAAATTGGATAAAAATTGTGACTTCTAGAGTGTCCACAACCTTGGTATTACATACTTTTACACTATTTGTGTATAAGGAGCAGCCATTTTGTCCAACAGTTTCATTCAGATTTTTACGAAATTCAAACTCAACCTTCATTGATGTGTAATGGTGATATATTTAAACGTTTTTTAAAATTGAATACAAATTGTGACCTCTAGTGGATCTACAAGCTAACAATGTGATTTTTCGAACAATCAGGGGCCATAATCCAGGAAGTTAGATTCAGATATGCACGATTCTCAAAAGGAACCAAGATCTTTGTGATATAAACAAAAATTTAGATAAATTGGATAAAAATTGTGGCCTCTAGAGGGTCCACAATCTTGATATAACATATTTTTATACTATTTGCGTACAAGGAGCTGCCATTTTGTCCCGCAGTTTTGGTCCGAACATTCAAACACAACCATCCTCAGGGTGTAACGGTGATATTTCACACGTTTTTTTAAATTGGATAAAATTTGTGACCTTTAGAGGTACCACAAGCTAAAACCGCGATTTTTAGTAAAATTAAGGGCCATAATTCAGGAAGTTACAATACGACATGTGCGAATATCGAAAGGAACTAGGATCTTAGGGATATAAACATGTATCTCAAGTTTCATCAAAATCAGATCAAAATTGTGACCTCTAGAGGGTCCACAACCTTGGTATACCAGATGTTTAAACTATCTGTGTAGAAGGGGTGGCCATTTTTGACCGGCAGTTTTGGTCCGATTTTCACGAAATTTGAACTGATCCAACTTTACGGTGTAACAGTGATATGTTCGAACGGTGTTTTAAATCGGATAATAGTTGTGACCGTGATTTTTCATACAATCAGTCGCCATAATTCAGGAATTTACGTTCAGATATGCGTGAATATCGACAGGAACGACGATCTTTGGATTCTGATCATACATTTCAAGTTTCATCAAAATCGGATAAAAATTGTGACAACTAGAGTGTCCACAACCTTGTTATTACATACTTTTACACTATTCGCGTACCAGGAGCAGCCATTTTGTCTGGCAGTTTGGGTCAGATTTTTACGAAACTTGAACTCAAAATTCATTGATGTGTAACAGTGATATATTTAAATGTTTTTTAAAATTGAATACAAATTGTGATTTCTAGCAATATAAAAACTGTAGCCACTGTTGCGATCACAAATATTTCTGCTAAGAGGAAAAAAATTCTAGAATGGAATTTTGCAGAGTGCTGAATATCAATAGGGTTTGTTCTCTCATGACCACTACACACCAAATTTGAAAAGAATCTGTCAAAAATTCTAGCCTCTATCAGTCACCTTCACGTGGTTTTCAGAAAAGGGGCATTACTCTGGTACGGAAGCTTGCAGAATGGTGAATATCTATGGGGTTTGTCCTTTCACACCAAATTTGAAAAGTATGCGCTAAAAAATGTAGTCTCTAATGTGTCCACATGCAAATCGCTGACGAACCAACAAACAAGGGTGACTGTATAAATATAAATTTGTAAATTAATCAGCCCTTTTGCCATTAGCATATATTTATTTCTTTGCATTTTGATTGGCAAATTGTATATTGCCTCAATACTGGCTTCAACACAAGAGTTGATGTCTGAGGGGGCAACAATAAAAACTTTCTGTGTACCTGTGTTTCCTGATGTAGGTTCTATTAAAACATCACCTGACTTTAAATATCCTCTAGCTTCTGCATCTTCTATCATTCTCAAACCAATTCTATCTTTAACACTTCCACCAGAGTTAAAAAATTCACATTTTGCCACTGAAATTGAAAAGATAGGTTGCCAGGCAATGAAATATATACGGCCAAAGAAGATAAGTCGTCTGAGCAGTTGCCATGGGTTGTTACATATTTATTCTTTTCCAGGTTGTGGGCATTTACAAGACACCAACCGGCAGTTGCCATGCAAAACCGCCCACAAGAGATAGACGAAGAACAGGGAAAATTGGTTGGACTCATCCTGTCATTGTACAAATGCTTCACATCGAATATGAATAAGCATTTGATAAGGCATGTGCCTTCAAGAAATATAACCTACGTCATGTTCACAAAATTGGAGGGGACTGGTAACTCTTGAACAGGACGTTAGCGAGAGATAATTTCAATATGGTTTGTCCTCTCACTATCCAAATGCTTTACGCTAAATTTGAGAAAAAATCTGTTAACATGCGGGTGCCATGAGATGGATGGAGACCTGGAACAAGCGGTTGCCAGGCAAGCTACGCCCACATTTTGCAAGAGATGGATAGAGAATAAGCTGAAAAAAAAACAAAAACCAGCGGCTGCCAGGTAGGATAAGCCCACATTTTGTAAGAGGTGGATAGAGAACAAGCTAAAAACAAAAACGATTTTTTGTACAATCAGGGCCATAATCCAGAAAGTTATGGTTTGAAATGCACAAAAATCAAGAGGGACTGAGATTTTTTGGAATATAAAGATATGTTTTAAGTTTCATCAAAATCGGATAAAAATTGTGACCTCTAGAGGGTCGACAAGCTTCATATTACACAATTTGCGTACAAAGAGGAGTCATTTTGTCAGGCAGTTTCATTTTCTATTTTCCCGAAATTCGAATTCAACCTTCATTATGGTGGAATGGCGATATATTTAAACAGTTCTTAAAATCAGGAAAACCAGCGGCTGCTAGGCAGGATACGCCCACATTTTCGAGAGATGGATAGAAAACAAGCTTAAACGAAAGTGATTTTTCCTACAATCAAGGGCCATAATTCAGAAAATTACAATTTGATATGCGCAAATATCGAAAGGAACCAAGATCTTTGGGTTATAAACTTACATGTCAAGTTTCAACAAAATCGGATAAAAGTTGTGACCTCTATAGGGTCAAAAACCTTGATATACCATATTTTTACGCTATTTGAGAACGAAGGGCGGCCATTTTGTCTGTCAGTTTTGGGTTGATTTTCACGAAATTAGAACTCAGTCATCCTTAGGGTGTAACGGTGATATCATAATACGTTTTTTTAAATCGGATAAAAATTATGACCTCTATAGGGTCCACAAGCTAAAAACGCGATTTTTCGTACAATCAGGGGCCATAATTCAGGAAGTTACGGTCCGATATGCGCGAATATCGAAAGGAACCAAGATCGTTGGGTTATAAACTTACATTTCAAGTTTCAACAAAATCGGATAAAAAATGTGACCTCTACAGTGTTCACAATCTAAAAACATGATTTTTCATGCAATCAGGGGCCATAATCCATGAAGTTATGGTCCGATACATGCCAATATGGAAAGGAAGCGAGATCTTAGAGTGATAAACCTATATTTCAAGTTTCACAAACAATTGTGGACGGACGGACGGACAGACGTGGGCGACGACAATATATGTCCACATGAAAATGTGGGCGTATAAAAATTGTGACCTCTAGAAAATCAGCAACCTAAAAATGCGATTTTTGAACAATCAGAGGCCATAATCCTGGAAGTTACGTTTGGATATGCGCGATTATCAAAAGGAACCACGATCTTAGTGTGTAACGGTGATATATTCACATGTTTTTTTAAATCAGATAAAAACGTGATATTTTGTACAATCAAGGGCCATAATTCAGGAAGGTTTGGTACAATTTTCACGAGGGTGCAACAGTGGTGTGTAACAGTGATATATATGAACGTATTTTAAAATCAGATAATTGTGACCTCTAGAGGGACCACAAGCTGAAAACGTGATTTTTCGTACAATCAGGGGCCATAAATCAGGAAGTTACGATCCGATATGCCCAAATATTGACAGGAACCAAGATCTTTGGGTTATAACTTTCATTGCAAGTTTTATCACAATCGGATCAAAATTCTGGCCCCTAGAGGGTCCACAACTTTGATATACCAGATGTTTACACTATTTGCGTACGAGGGGAGGCAATTTTGTCTGGCAGTTTTGGTCCGATTTTCTTGAAATTCAAAATTACGGTGCAACGGAGATATATTCGAATGTTTTTTTAAATCGGATAATAATTGTGATCTCTAGAGTGACCACAAGCTAAAAATGCAATTTTTCGTACAATCAGGGACCATAATTCAGGAAGTTATGGTCCGATATGCGCGAGATCTGTGGGTTATAAACATACATTTCAAGTTTAAACCAAATCGGATAAAAATTGTGACCTCTACAGTGTTCACAAGCTACAGTGTTCATAATCCATGAAGTTACAGTCGGAAACATGCCAATATCGAAAGGTACCGAGATCTTAGGGCGATAAACCTATATTTCAAGTTTCATTGAAATCAGAAATCAGTGTTCATAAACAATTGTTACAAGTTTTTAAGCAAAGAGGAGATAACTCCAGAACCATAAGTTGAAGAAAGCTGAAGATCTTCTTATGACCCCAATGCTTACAACCAAATCTAAAAGAATTTCATTTAAAGATACATTCCTGTGTACAAACTGGGTTATTTAATGGTATATATGGACTAAAAACATATTCAAGGTAATTAATTTGTCATAATTTGTCATAATTTTGCTTCAAATCCTTCTCAAACATTGTAATTGCGAAGGAATGCCCTGCTATAAATATTAGATCAAACCAGGTTATGTTTACGTCACGTGACTTACCTTTCTTGGATGACAGAGGAGAATTCATTGCATACATAAGACGATGGTGTCTTTAATCACTTACTATTTATTACAAATATCGAATCCTAATTAAATTCTCGGATTATTCACTACCCGCGCCTTTTTCCGTCATTTTTATCTCAGAAAGTGTTGTACGTCTAACTCTTCATAAAGTTTATCAACTTGTACATCAAGTGCTCAATGTTCGCGTGTGACCTTTGACATCACCTGTGCAGAAATTCCTAATCGTCGGGCTGTCGATTAGGGGAACCCTTATATTTTTGTCTTGTATACGCTCCATGAGTGTGTTTCGGGGAATCCAGTATTTTTCTAGTAAGATTGGATATCTCTACTTTCCATATATACCGAAATTGCCATACTTTTATTGGAAATAACCACCCGATAAATACTTTTCTGGGAACCCATCTTTAACATATAGCCTTCACATTTTTCGTAAAAGGCAGGGAAATGTAATGAAATTGGGTTTAACGTTCTACTGTTCTACTCCAACTGGGCTATTGAAGCCGGGCATATGGTGATACAGTATGCTATGAGAGAAATTTTGCCCAGACAGCAGCACTACGGCCTACTCATAGGCGTAGGAGCCGGGGGGGCAAATTTATTTTCGGGCAATGAAAAATTCGACGACTTTTTTTTTCTATTAACGTTTAGAGAAAAAATATAACTAACTTATTTCTATGAGATCCACACTGCCCGAAAAGTATTTTCTCGTCTTTTTCTTGTCCACTGCATGCCCGAAAATATGCCCGAAGCTCTCTTATGATAGGTATGCCCGAAAAAACGGTATTGCCCGAAAACAGCAGAGGAAACGAGCCAAATGGAAAACTGCTAGGAAACAGCCAGTTGCCAATGTTGCCAGGGTGGATTCGCCCGTTTTCGGTGGTGTGGCAGTGACCAAAACACTATATCAGCTGATATAGTGACCTTGCCCTTCGTTGTTCTTAGTATATTATCTTAAGATGTTTACACTTATCTGTGTACATCAAGCAGAGATCTATGCCTGTACACTGTACATGTCATTCTCTCAAACCACCCACACACTGTGGCGGTGTATAGTAGAATATAATCCATAGTCACATTATACATTGCAGATCGAAGTAGAGGTACCTATATCGCATTTAAAACTTTTGATTCAGTACCGGAATTTAAATTGTTTTCAAAAATTAAAATTACTAGATATACGGATGAGACGATATTTTAGTGTGTTCATTGATTTAAAACTATTACACGTACGGTGAATGTTGCTATTGTTTGCTTTCATGTGCATCTCGGGCAATTTTTTTTTCTGCACACGGGCCGATATTTTTTGCGTTTGGGAGCATTGTGTGAAACAATAGTTCATAGTATTGCATAATATTATACATACAAAACCACCTAGTAACAAAATATTTGGGAAAAAAAAGTGATGCGTCGCGTAAATTTTTAATTTCCGTCCTAGTCCGGACTTTTTTCTGTATGCAAATGAGCTTCGTCGTAGATCCCATATAAGGTATATGTTCTAATATGCTAAGTTCTATTATGCATTTGCCTACAATGCAAAATGCAAAATGGAGAAATGCAATGTGCAAAATAACTATTATACCGTATTTTGTATTATTAAAAAGTGTATTCTGTATTTCAACACCGTGACAATGGTATTGTGAAGCAATGGAAAATGCAAATTGTAAAACTAAAATACGTATTTTGAACTGCTGACATATGCATTTTGCACCGTAAACAATGAAATAATATTGGCACCGTTATACTTCCATAAATTTCTTGTTACCAGATATTAGCAATATAGCTCCTTTACTGTATAGTTTCACTACCAGGTACTTCAAAACATTGGTTCAGTTCGATCGAAAACATTTTCTGCTTAGAATGTTTTTAGGTTAATCTTTATAACACCATTTTAGATAGTTGCAGACAATTTCAAGAAAATTCAGTATGGGAATTTATTCAATCTAATCTATTTGGATTATATATTCACAGAAATGTATTTGCAGTATCGGAATAATGAGTGCATTTGACGGGCTAGATCTATTTGTTAAGGCCAACTCAATTTTCGTTAAGGTGACTGGGATGTAAATAAGGTTAGGGGATGTGATTGTTGGCGAGATTGTAGGTTAGGGTTAGGATTGGCGCTAGCCCTGTATACATCTTGTGACCATTGTCCAAACTTGAAGTTGGCCTTAATCAATTACATCTGACCGCATTTGACGGGGCTTCTATTAAGACGCCGTATGGACGTGCCTCTCATATTTCTAAAATGTTTTACTTTTGTTCCTGAGTCCTGATTTGTACGATCAATCTGGTGAGACGATTATCTCTGAATATCAAAATATTGTTTAATTAATCTAATACCTAGTGTTAGAATTATATTGATTTATATTATATTATATTGATTATATATAATCAATATAATATACTATATATTGATCATATTGATTTCGATATATATATTGATTATATTATATTGATTTCGGGCTATTTTCTCTTATGCCCCCCTGAATTACTTTGAGCTCCTACGCCTATGGGCCTACTCTTATATCAAATTCCAACTGCAAAAGGATCATTTACCTGCACAGGACCTCGGTTTTTCATCCCATCTAAGCGACTAGACAGCTGTCCTTGTCAGGCCCTCTGTCTTGCACCACTGACATGGGGAAACCAAGCTGGAAAATCCTGATGAACTTTCTCGACCAACACAATAATACCAGTACGTATTTCAGTAAGAGGTACATTTAAAATGTTTTCATGTATGGCTTGTCTCATTGGCAATGCATTGATTACCACTAACAATATGTCTGGAAATGGTCAAAACTGTCAAATATGCAACAATTTTAAATTGGAATTACTGGAGGGCAAATAGCCACGGAGAAGACAAGTATGGATTTGTAAAATTGGTTTGATCCAACTGACGAAAATTCGTGGAACATATAAATGACATAATACAGAGAATAGGAGACAAAACTAAAGTATAAATACAATTTGGATCTCCTTAATTTAAAAAAATGTAGAATTACTCTTGCAATATAATTAAGAAGATTTTTTTTACGGGAGCTTTTTTCTCAATTTTTAAATTGGCGTAAGTTTTTTATGGCTCCCGCACCATTTCGTAAACGTGAAGGACTGATGAAGGGATCTAGGCTAGCAAGCTAGTGCCTTACCCACTTAGCCATCGTGGCTCCCCGATTTGAAAATGAATGAAGACCCAAAACAAAGCATTATGGATGAGAGAGAGAGAGAGAAATGGGGTTTAACGTCCACTCGACACAAACTAGGTCATTTCGGGACTAACATTAGGTTTAATTTTATTTCAATAATTCACTTGCGCATAGGGGTCTTTAGCAGTGGGAGGAAACCGGAGGACCCGGAGAAAACCCACGAGGTTGGACAGGCGACCCTACTCCTTGTCACGTACAACCGGGGATTCGAAACCACGCCAGTCGACTCAATGACAGACTTTATGATACAGCGCACGCACGCTAACCATTCAGCCATCCAACCCCCCGCATTATGGATGGACTGACTTGTAAAAAATTAATAATAATTCACTTACATAGCTCACACTTAATGCCTTCTTTCTCTGATATTCTGTTTATTCTAACCAGAGGTGTATTTCCAATATTAAATAATATATTCGGCATGATAACTGGTTTTGGTGAACTAAAAATAAACAAACCAGCGGCTGCCAGGCAGGATACGCCCACATTTTGCAAGAGATTGATAGAGAACAAGCTATAAACAAACAGGATTTTTTGGACAATCAGGGGCAATAATCCAGAAAGTTATGGCCTGAGATTTGCAAATATCAAAAGGGACAGAGTTCTTCGGGATATAAGAAGATGTTTTAAGTTTCATCAAAATCGGATAAAAATTGTGACCTCTAGAGAGGGTCCACAACCTTCGTATTACACATTTTTACACAATTTGCATACAAAGAGCGGTCATTTTGTTGGGCAGTTTCATTTCGATTTTCCCGAAATATGAATTCAACCTTCATTATGGTGGAATGGTGATGTATTTAAACATTTTTTGAAATCGGAAAAAAATTGTGACCTTTAAAGAATCTGCAAGCTAAAAATGCGATTTTTCAAACAATTAGGGGCCATAATACAAGAAGTTAACTTCAGGTATCCACGATTATCCAAAGGAACCAAGATCTTAGTGTGTAATGGTGATATATTTACACGTTTTTTTTAAAAAATGCGAGAATATCGAAAGGAACCAATATCTTTGGGTTATAAACATGCATTTCAAGTTTCATCAAAATCAGATCAAAATTGTGGCCTCTAGAGGGTCCACAACTTTGATATACCAGATGTCTACACTATTTGCAGACGAGGGGCGGCCATTTTGTACAGCAGTTTTGGTCTGATTTTCATGAAATTCGAACTCAACCATCCTTAGGGTGTAATGGTGATATATTGTAACGTTTTTTTAAATCGGATAATAATTGTGACCTCTATGGGGTCCACAAGCTAAAAACTTGATTTTTCGTACAATGAGGGGCCATAATTCAGGAAGTTATAGTCCAATATGCCCAAATTTTGAAAGGAACCGAGATCTGTGGGTTATAAACATACATTTCAAGTTTAAACCAAATCAGATAAAAATTGTGACCTCTACAGTGTTCACAAGCTAAAGACGTGATTTTTCGTACAATCAAAGGCCATAATCCATGAAGTTACAGTCCGATTCATGCCAATATCGAAAGGAACCGAGATCTTAGGGTGATAAACTTATATTTCAAGTTTCATTGAAATCGGATTAAAATTTTGACCGGTAGAGTGTTCACAAACAATTGTGGATGGACGGACAGGGGCAACGACAATATACGTCCACACGAAAATGTGGGCGTATAAAAACCTTCACCAGGCAATGCAACCCCTGATAAGCATTCTTCAAGAGTTTAAGTCCACTCAACACAAACTAGGTCATTTCGGGACTTACATTTGATTTAATTTTATTTCAATAATTTGCTTGCCCATAGGGGTCTTTAGCAGTGGAAGGAAACTGGAGAACCCAGAGAAAACCCACAAGGTTGAACAGGTCACCTACTCATTGTCATGTACAAGCAGGGAATCGAAACTAGGCCAATTAACTCAATGACAGACCTAATGATACAAAGCGCACATGCTAACCACTCGGCCACCCAACTTCCCTGTAAAACATAATAAAATTTGATCTAAATTGGACAAAAGATGTGGCCTCTAGTTGGTCCACAAACTTTGTACACATATCTCATTTTGATTAAAAGATAGTGGAAACAAAATTGTGACCTTTAAAGAATCTGCAAGCTAAAAATGCGATTTTTCGAACAATTAGGGGCCATAATCCAAGAAGTTAACTTCAGGTATCCACGATTATCCAAAGGAACCAAGATCTTAGTGTGTAATGGTGATATATTCACACGTTTTTTTTTAAAAATGCGAGAATTTCGAAAGGAACCAATATCTTTGGGTTATAAACATGCATTTCAAGTTTCATCAAAATCGGATCAAAATTGTGGCCACTAGAGGGTCCACCACTTTGATATACCAGATGTTTACACTATTTGCAGACGAGGGGCAGCCATTTTGTACAGCAGTTTTGGTCTGATTTTCATGAAATTCGAACTCAACCATCCTTAGGGTGTAACGGTGATATATTGTAACGTTTTTTTAAATCGGATAATAATTGTGACCTCTATGGGGTCCACAAGCTATAAACGCGATTTTTCGTACGAGGGGCCATAATTCAGGAAGTTATAGTCCAATATGCGCAAATTTTGAAAGGAACCTAGATCTGTGGGTTATAAACATACATTTCAAGTTTAAACCAAATCAGATAAAAATTGTGACCTCTACAGTGTTCACAAGCTAAAGACGTGATTCTTCATACAATCAAAGGCCATAATCCATGAAGTTACAGTCCGATTCATGCCAATATCGAAAGGAACCGAGATCTTAGGGTGATAAACTTATATTTCAAGTTTCATTGAAATCGGATTAAAATTTTGATCGGTAGAGTGTTCACAAACAATTGTGGACGGACGGACCGGGACAAACTTTGTACACATATCTCATTTTGATTAAAAGATAGTGGAAACAATAGCGCGGTTGGGTAACTGTAACTTAGCATGTCAGCGGGATTGAAGTATGTGTGTGTTAGTGGCGGGGTTTTGGGGTGGGGGGGGTATGATCTATTGATCCAGTACTAAACCTCCATAAAGCTTATCATCTTTGACACAAAAATGTGGGTGTATAAAAATGCAATTATTCATGCAATCAGGGACCACAATCCACGAATTGATGGTCCGATACATGCCAATATCACAAAGGAAACAAATGGTCTGTGTTGTTTTGTTAGAGAAGTCCAATCCATAACCTTTTCGGGTAGTAATCATGGAATTAGCTATATTTTGAAGGTTTTGGCATTTTGTATGAATAGATCTTCATGTGTAGTAGTGTATATTTGTATATATTTGTATTTATTGTATATTGGGTATTTGTTGTATTATGGTATATTTGGTGTTTGTGGTATTGTTCCTTTAATAGTACATCTCTAGCTGGTCAACAATGTCTTTATAATAATTCGAATCTATAATCCCTTTTAACTCACTAAACTAATCATGTCTCAATTTCTATTTCAATTATTACTTGCAACTTAACCTTACATGTATATCACTTGTCTTGTATTACTGTGTATGGTATCAATATTTAAAAAATCAGTCTTTTTATAAACTCCTGTTTTATAGGGTATGTTAATGTATTTGAATGTAATTGTATTAGTTAAGAATTCATTGGAAATATCTTATTCATTCCTTTATTTCAAATAAATGTGGTCCCGCTTTAATTTAAAATATGTATATAATATTTATCATTATTGTAGTTATTTTTATACATTTCTTTATGTTTTTCAGAGTTTTTATCTGTATACTTATTGACCATTCTACAATAAAATATTGAACCTATGACCTGGTGTTTCGTTTCGTCCTTGAATAGAAACCTTGCAACATATGGGACAACATTATTTTAAGGTTGCCATTGTGCAATAGCATTCCAACTCTATTTTTTTATTTTGAACTTATTTATAATGTTATTAACATATCAACTGTCACACAAACGGGAATGTTGTGGGCTATGGGCTATGGGGGCTAGGCGGAGACACCAAAAATATAAATCCCAGAAATTCCTAAATAGCAAAAGGTACAACTATTATAATAGTATAATATACCTTTAGTTTATATCAACATAGACTCTTACTTCAATAGAAACAAGCCAACAGTGAGGCTGATGTCCCCTGTCGAAATCCCAAAATAAATACATGCGACACATATTAATTCATACCACATTTATTTTTTTCAAAAGTATCAAGCAATCAAACTGATTATCAACTATACACTAAGTTTCATCACTTATATCAGATAGAATCAAAGTTATCTTGTCCCAAAGCATCAACCAATGAAATTCCTTAGCTCTACTTAGCTTTAGCTCAAAATGTTAATCATTGAACTCAGTCAAGACATTCCCCTAATAAACATCTACATCAAGTTTAAACATTCTACCTCAAATAAAAGCAGAGTTGTTATCAGGGGCGGATTGGGCCATCGGGCAATCGCCCGAAGGGCCGGTCGGAAATGAAAAAAAAAAAAATTGTACAATTCGTCTAAAAAATCCTTTTCTGCTGAACATTATATGGAGGGGAGGGGGGTATTGGACCGGTCATGGAGCGATGATGATCATGTTGTATGTGGCGGTGGCTTTAACAGCCGCCACGCCATCACTGGAGTCTGGAATGGGCTGGTATAATAGACTTTCTGGGCCGGGTGTGCTGGGTGTGGACCTGAATTCGGAATCCTGCAATGGGGATTTTGAATTTCATCCGAAAATTTCATCGGATTCACCCGACACTAACGAGGTAGCTATATTTTGCGTCCAAGATCAAATTTTATTTTTATTTTTATTTACGCCCGCCACTCCTTACAAAAATCTCGAGGGTAACGCAATTTGTGTGGCCTTACACTCCAATATTCATTATCTGAACTAATGCTATGTTCATTAATCAATATGTAGTGTGTCAAATGTTCAAGTTCGGAGTCAAGGTAAAACAAGATGACTAGTCATCACCATCCCACACCCTTGAACTTGTTTGGAAGGCATAAGGAAAAACAACTTCTTGGAATATCAATGGGACTAGTCAGAAGATTCATACTCTGATCATAGTAGCTCGGCAAGGCAAAGTCGCTACTCTCTGTAAGGATTGCACAACAACCTTTGCCTAACTGTTTCTTAAACATTAAGCTTATACATCAGAAAATAAAATACTTTAATAGTTTGATGTTTGTATAAAGTTTTAAAAAGATTTCTCTGAACAGATAATGAAATATGCTCTACAAATGAAATTGGGACAGAAGGAAGGTCATCAAAAAATAAAATAATAGGTTGATGAATGTAAAAGTGTTATAAAGGTATCTTGAACATTTCTGGGATATGGCTCTAGAATAATAATTATATAGCAAAAAATAATACAAATGTGTAGTAAAAATCATTCAACTGATAATTATTAAATCCGACAAATTTCTAATTAGCAAAAGGCACAACTACTGTAATAGGATGATGTGTGTTCAAAGTTTCAACTAGTAAGAATATATATATTCTGAGCACAGTAGTTCAGCATGTCGG